TTAATTCCTAAATTTATTGTAAATTTTATTTTACTTATATTTTCATAACACCAATAAATAGACAGCTAAAATTCTAGTATAGAGTAGATCTAGACATTTAGTATGTATACTGTGAATATCAGCCTCTTCTACTGTTGAAACATATCAGAAAAGAGTTATTCATTATTTTTTATCTTTTCTTTCATACATAGAAAATTTCTTTTTCTTAGTTCATTTCTCTATAAAATATGACTTTTTTTCACAGTGTAAACAGAGTTGTCACCTCTTCTGCTTTTAGCAGAAAAATTCTGCTTTTTTCTAATACCGCATAATTTATAATTTTAATCAACACTTGTCATCTCGAAGATCTTCATTTCCATAAATAGAAAAAAACCGTATCAAAAGCTACTGATGTTTGTGTTCTATTCTAATTCTTTCTATTTTATACAAATGACTTTTATTTTCCACTGACCACAAACAACTCACAACGAATATTTTTGCTTCTTAATCAGTTTCTTACCTATAGTCTTCTATCGTATTGTTTATTATTCATTTAATTTATATACATCAACATATACATTCTCTTGTTTATTCATCCGATGAAACAGGAAGAATTAATATGATTTCTGAGGACAAAAGAACAGAAAAAAAATAGTTCTAGATGATAATGACAGCAAGACTAGCAAAGAAGGTATTCACGAAGTAGTTGTAGTTGCTGAACAAACAAATATGCCATAAAGAGTTAAATCAGAAAAAAAAGAAACTCTATGGAAGCGTCTTAAACAGAGAATGGCTCAAAGTCGTTGAATATTAATGATTCTTAAAAGAATATAAAATAAGTCCATCTCAGTCAACATTAATTGTTGATTATCAATATTTTTCCGAACATCACAATAAAAAGCTAACATTGATAATCTTATGAACATTCAGAAGCATAAAGAGTTATGAAATCTTATGATTTAAGCAACGATTAGCTTGAATCTCTCCTCTTCATATACTAAAATGGATACATTCTAATTAGGCAAGCAAAATTTATCGAAAATTCTTAAATCAGATGAAGAATGCACTTTAAAAAAAGAAAACATGTTCAAAGATTCTGTTTATTTGTTAGTTGGTTATCTTTTCTGATGTTACGCAGTGAATACCAAAATTCAATGTTAACATTGTTAATCAGTACAGTAAAACAAAAATTTAAAACCAGTTTCATATCATAAACATAATTTCTGCTTTTTTTTTGTTTTTTGATGATAAAATTTCTGTTATTTTCTGCCTTTCTTAAACTGTTTTCTGCTTTTCAGACTTCAAAAGGTGGCAACACTGACCCACACCCACACCCACACCCACATCCACACCCACACCCACACCCACACCCACACCCACACGCACACGCACACCCACACACACACACACACACCCACACTCACCCACACCCTCAAGTGTTCTCCTTCTTTTTCTTTACGTGCACACTCTGAGAAAGAAGGACATGTGTTTATGACAGGTGATATAATATTACATGAATGCATTATGAGAAGGTCGATTTCGCTCCATTTTTCGTCTCCCTCCAATCATTTTTTTTCTTCTTAATTCAAATAGGGAGAGTGGACTTCACTGAAAACGATGATTTATAGAAGACTTGTAGAATCACTCGCCGACAGGGACAAAGATCAGCATCCTCCGGACAGTAGAAGGGAATCACATAGTTAATACTCAAAATATGCACTTATTTGACAAGTGCATTACATGACATGTTTGGATGGAGGAATAAGTCGATATAGGATCGTACCTCATGTACAATTTTCTAGTATACGGCATGCAATATGTAATGCGCGTGAAACCAATTGACTTGATTTTTTTCATCATACGCTTTCTACAAGTACGGGTTTATGACTTGGTGTTATCAAGTCAGTAAGTCAAGTCAAATTATAAGCCAGTGCAGTAGAGTCAACAACTTTATTTTTTTTCTCTCCATAATATAGTAGTTACAAGCAAAGAAAGAGAGTTCATTTCTAAAGTCTTTCGACTTCAAGTGTAGTCGTCGTCGATGATGAAGAAGAATATTGTTTATCCATAATTGTCCATGGAATTTGTTGTTCTAAGACACGTCTTGGTGTATACGCAACTCTGATAATCCATATGAAGAAGGTCAAATTAAGTAGAATAAATAGTGATAATAAAACAAAGAACATTATGTGATCTGGGAGACGAGATTTTAATTTCAAATCCACTGATTTATCATTATTCATCCAATAACCCATTATAGCATGATAGAATGTACAGAGTAAGTCAAAGACAATTAGAGTTATAGAATATTTATCAATCAATGTTAAATAGGATGTTAACTGGAGAAAGAAGAAAGGGAAAAAGATAATATAGATGAGACTTATTAGAACTTACAGGTAATTTACTTGTTATTGTACTGCGAAAGGATATGGATGTTAATAGAATAGTTGCCATAAGTGCCAAACGATTTTGTGGTAAACTACACTTAGAGATGTAGAATAGACTATAACAACTAGTGTGACACTTACCTTGGATCAATGGCCCAAACAGAAAAACAGAAGAGGGTAATAACAAAAATAAGAAAGAAACCATTCCAATGAAAATAAGTTGGTATTCTTTGTGCATGACACGTGACACAGATCTATGAGGATAGATAAAGCAGAGGAGAAGAGAAAGAGAAGAGTACTCACCATAGATCTCTGTTGATTAGTATCTTCATCATGTATTGTATCAATAATTGCATTAACACATTTAAATAATTTCCATTGTTGTTTAGCTAAGAAAGCACTTTCATTTACTCGAGATGGACGTTGAGGATGTGGTCTAAGTAGAACTTCATTTGTTGTTAGATGAGATGTTATACTTATTGTTAAATCTTGTACATCAAGTGGAAACTATAAGGGAAAGAGATGAACTCGATAAGAATGTGGTTGTATTTTTTCTTCAATTGTAGTAATATTTGTTAAAGTCTTTTCCATGAGTAAAATGAAGGATCAACGAATCCTTAATCCACTTAGATAAAAAATGCTTTTATGTAACCAATATCAGACAACAAAAACAAGAAAATAGTTTTTTCTCGCCAAAATCGTTCTTTTATTTTTTAAGTGAAAAAGTCAACGATGAAGACTTACATTATTTAGTTCGAGAGTTTCATAATAAGCACCTTTCAGTTTTTGTTGTTCACAGATGATTGTTTCTCCTAATTCAGTCTTTCTAATTGTATGTGTTATTTGTTGTTTTAATTCACCCAATGCATTGTATATGTATATATTTGGATTCCAATGCTTTTTCGAGTCATACTCATCTATCACATTAGAGTCTAGCCATTCTATTTCAAGGGATGCTTCACCATCAAATTGATCTGACAGTGTATTGATTTGACCTGTAAAATAGAAGGAAGTGACCTCTGTCTCACGTAGATCTATCAAATGATAGAAAGAACCAAGTACCTAATCTCATAAAGATGACTCTAACATTCACTATACGAGGTTCTGTTTTGAAGGCCATCTTTTGTGTGTGAATAATGGAAGTGGTAATTGAAAATGAAGAAGGTGAAGAAATATGAGAATCCAAAAGAAGGAAGGATGATGAATAAAATCAGATTCTTGTTGTTGTGAAATTAGAGAATATTTACTCTTATTCATTCGTTATTTGAAAGAGAGAGCTGTCGATATTCATCGTCCTGCCATTAAAGGAGTCTCATATCTTGTTGATGGGAGTGACTCAACAATGTAGAAGGAAAAGGGTGTTTCACTCGCTCTTGTCTGTTCATCGTCAAATAGTCATTATATAGAAAAGAAATTTTATAAATAAGCGTGCTTAAGAGTCACTGCACGAGAGCCACGACCGATCGTGCTCAATCGATGTCTTCACATTTCAATGAAAGTTTTCCCATTTTGTAGAGCTATTTGTTTTAGGAATATAGCCAAATTTTAAGACCAAAAGAATTAAATTTGGCCGAGATATGCTTAACCGACTAAAAGCACCGCAAACCATATTTTTAAAATTTTTCATTTTTTGGGTGTGGGTGTGGGTGTGGGTGTGGGTGTGGGTGTGGGCGGGTGGGTGTGGGTGTTAGAAAGAGACTGATACCCACATCCACACCCACACTCACCCACATCCACACCCATACCCACGCCCACACCCACACCCTCGCCTTTTCTTCTTTCTGCCTATGGTATTGCCGGTACTTACACTGCTGAAGATGTACTTAATCACTGGTTTTGGATATATGAAGAAATCAAGAAAAAAGGCATTCGAATTATCGGTTTTTCAACCGTCTGTGATAGCCGCTATCTTCGAAGTATGAGAATAGTCAGCGGTTTCTTCGCATTCAACATTGATCATCCGTTCAGATATCATACTAATGCTTTCAAAGTAAATATTCCTTCTCATGGGCATTGGTTCTACCTTCAATCTTCGCAATTATGCTTATTTGTACAAGTGAGCGCTTAATCTATATACTGAAATGAATAGATTTTTATGCTTTTTTGATCATTCTCTATAAAAATTATGAAATTAAGTTGTTACGAAGCAGAAGCTCCAGTTCTCACTTAATTGAAGCAAATAGTTACAAAGCTCTTTTATTTCTTTGTTTCTCTTTGCCTAGGATGGAGTGCATCTGTGCACCAAGCTTCGCAACAGATTGCTGTCGAAGACCGCGTGCCTTTTGTTTGGTGGTGAAATTATCTCCAATCTTATTCTTATACATATAATTTCTACTACATCGAAAATTCGTCATGGTTTAGTTTACTCCGATGTTCGACCATGTGATCGACAACATTTTTCTTTGTGGCAAAAGATCTATCAAGAAGACGCTTTTAAAATACTTAAAACAATAAATGGTGTTATTCCGAATACGAAAGGCATATATGTATATTTAAAACTTATTGAATGTGTCATCTTTGCATACTGCGAAAAAGACATATTGCTCACTGATCATCTTCACTATGCCTGGCTTTCAGTCTTTCTTTGCAGATTTTGGCGAGTTTGGCTCGATGTCCAGCCCAGAAAGACACTCGAAAAAATATTTTCTACTCAATTCGATACTCTTGTTGCTTCTCTGTCGTCTCCATCGTCTATAAAGGTTACGCCTCCGGAACCGTCCGTGGTAACAACTAAACGACATTTTACGATTACTAATCCCA